CCCCAAAACCCCAAAACCCCAAAACCCCATACTTAAAACTTCTGAGAATTTTAAGAATTATTCTAAAAGATTATATAAAGCATAAATTAATAATGCCTTAGTTCTTGGATAGATATATGAGCTTATAAGAGATTAATTCAATGCAACTTCATTACAGACTTTTATCTCAGATCTTCTTTTTTTTATCTGCTTTGACCTCCTTTTATAGATTAACAACTTTCCATTCTATTGAATCAATCTCGTTTCCAGTATCTAAAATTTTCATGTTAATGTTGAAAATTTCGTTGTAGAGCTCGTGATACTTCTTAGATATAGGATCTAAATTTAAAGCCATTGTTGGAAGAATTTTCTTGTCCTCTTCTTTTTTTGGTTTTCCTTTATTCTTAGCTTCGTCTCTTCTCTTCTTTATTATCATCTTTAGAATTTCATTGAGCTTAGGTTTCTTTCTCTCCTCTCTTATTTTAAGCCAAATTTACGTAGCAGCATTTTTAAGCTAAACTGTCAATTAATTTCTTCTCTTTTCAAGATCAAATGATCTTGGCGATCTCTTTTCTCTTGGGAATTTTAAAATATAGTCGAGAGCTATAGGATTTTTAAGACTGAGCAGATATTTCTCTAATTCTTTGACTGATTCATCTAGTTCCTTTGAATCCTTACGAATATTTTCTAGATCATCAATATCGAGAGCGTAGCAAGTCACGGTAGTAGTACACCTAGCATTAGTGTCATTTTGGTCAGCAAATAGGAAGCCTCTGTGATTTAAAATACATCCTCTGGTAAGTTTCTCAATCACAAAAGTTTCATCTCCTAAGGTTAATTCAATTTAAACCTCTCCTTACTGAATTATATACATCCTAGTTGCAATATCATCAATTTTGTAAAGGAAACCATCTTTTTCAAAGTTCATTTTTTTGAGCTTGTACATTAGGTCATGCTTTGTCTAGAATGGAACAGATTAAAGATAATCAATAGAGTCTAATTGCTTTTCTAGAAATAGCTTAACATTATCATCATAGTGATAAATCTTAGTTTTGAATTTATCTAAGAGTTGAGGTGTTTTATGGATCATTTCTTCAAAATGCTCCTTTGATAACTTTGCCAAAGTACAATAATTATTTGCCTTTACAGTTGCAGTTCTTGCACATCCATAAATCATTGAAATTTCCTACATAAAACGTTATAGTGAAAAGTTAAAATTACTCCGAAATGATCTCCAGGTAGTAGTGATCTATGTTTGATCTCTTCATGTCCATCTTAAACTCTATCTTTAATCATAACGACACAGTCTCCTTTAGCCAAGAAAAACATATAACAGGTATCCTCAGTAACTTCATCATCTTGACTTACAAAGATTTACTCTGGAGTGGCGAGTTCGACCTTTAATCTTTTAACGATGAAATTCATGATTGAATGCTCTCCTCCTGCATCAACACTTGATCCATGCCCACCTTGATCACCATGACCTCCATGCTAGTCATGTCCGCTGCCATGTCCACTAAGAAAACTGTGGAAGACTATGTTTGACTCAAGAGCTACGTGGAAAATCTAGAATGAGATTTGTAGTCTAAGTGATGGGGATATGTCGTCTAAGAAATGATTCAGTTCTCTTTACTGATCCATTCTTGAAAAGGTATTAATGAAATATTCTTTGATTTCTTTTTTTAGATTCGAAGGCAGAGCTAGATTTTCCATAGCAGTATTAATAGTATCAAGTTATTCTTGGAATTTCATAGTTTTGTGGTTTATTTAGCTATTTAGAACAGTCATTTGAACGAAGATATTTGCTAATACCATAGAAGAGAAAAGCATAATTATAAAGGCCAAAGTTATCTCAGTATCTGTCTGTGGAGACATTTCACCACCAGCAATTAAGAAGTAGGCAGTATAAAATGCTACCAGATATTGTCTTAGCAAGCCAGATGAATAAACCTCATAAGCAAATTAATCTTCAAATATTTGATCTTTCTTAGGAACCCATTTATCATTTTGATTCACAACGTAAAACCAAAGACATCCAATAATGTGAGTATACATAAACAGAAAGAAAATCAGCCAGAGTACTCTAAGAAAAGCTTTTGTATCAGCACTCATATTTAGATTTCTAATGACTATTGATATTCTTCCTACTCTGAATAGTTTAAGCATTCCTAATATAGGTAGTATATCTGATGAACTACCGACAGCATTGAATGGGATACTTGATAAAACATCAAGCACAAATCTTCCATTTGTTAGGTAATTTTAAGTGATCATTCTTGCATCAAATATCTCATCTCCACTAATAGATGATATGTAAGTGATTCTAAAGTTAAGGAAGATATCAATCATGAACACTAAGTTAATCAGGGATTCTATTGTTATTTCAGCAGCACTGTTTAGCTCCATTGGATTAAAAGCAATTTCAACTGGTATAATGATAGAGTTGTAAAGAGCCATTATAATGATGACAATGTCCCAGTATAATTTAAATTTACTTCTACATCTTATCATGAACTCAGGATCTTATTATTCCATATAGACTTCGCTTGCAGAAGTGGTTATTGCTCTATGATAAGTAGGCTAAATCTTCTCAGAATGCCCGTCAACTAATAGATCATGATCCCCATCCTCTATAAATTTTTAACTATATTTTTTAGTTTACTTTTTTTTAAGAGGTCATGCTTCAATTTGAATTTTTTCAATACTTCTTCTTGAGTTTTCTAAGTTTTAGTGACTCTTTTCTGTTCTGTTTGCTTCTTCTCAGTCATTACTATAAAATATCAATTAGAAATTATGCGATGCAACTTGAATAACGGCTTTCTTACAAGCTAACATTTTCTTTTCCTTCATTGTCAAATTCTTGTATTCTTCTGAGTCTAAATTACACATTTTATAAAATCTTTATTCTTACCAATAGCAGGCATGCTTTTACCTTAGGCCAAATTAATAGCACTACTGGACTTCTCAGTCGACATTTTGTATTTTTCAAATATTAATTATTGATAATAACTATTAAGATTCTTTCTGATAAATTCAATTTCTTTAATTTTTATAATGTGAATACTCCTGATGTATCGTCGTTCAGGGGTTTTGGGGTTTTGGGG